CCCCCTCACACCTTCTGCAGCATAGGGTTTGGGAATCTGGGTGTCTAAGAAGCTCCCAGGCACTGCTGATGTTACCGATGTGGGGCATGCTTAGAAAGCCATTTCCCCTTTAAAACTGGCTTAGGCTTCGATATCCAAGATATCTGTTAAACTGGCCCATATAGAAGACATGTGTCTGATTTCATGTCTCTAACTTGAGGGAGACATCTGAGGAGCACTCAGGTTACTACAGTGGAGTCCACAGGGAACAGACACTGGCATCTTATGCTCTTTGTAGCAGATACATGTCCTTTGCTTTAGCTAGATACCATGGCTCAACCCTCAAAGATCTATTTTCCTTTCCAGTTCCACTAAAATTCCTTTTACATTTGTCACTGAACACAGCAGCCCTCCAGCAGATGAAAATTTTATCAAAGACTCCTCAGCACCACTCTTTCGACAATCACCTGTTCCCTCTTTCAGAGAACTTCAATAGATGCAAATATATTTTGGCACTGGAGCATATCACATTCAAATGCACCTACGTGTGAATTTCCAAAATGCAGTTTCTGTAGCACTTCTAAAATGAGAGATGAATGTTCAATGGATATGACAGACCAACGAGAATGCCAAAGGCATCTACTGACAAATATAAAAATTAATTACATTTAACAGTGACCAGCTTTAAAAATACATAGTACAGCAAAACTAATAATAATTCAAATTAGAACAACTAGTTCCTAGAAATTCCAAGGTCATGCTGAAGTACTTGCTGAACTACAACATGCTTTACTCTTGTGCCATGTCTTATTAAACGTATGGTGGTTAGAGTTGGGACAACTTAGGAGCTTAGACTTGACCAAGCAGAGCTGTGGTCATGGATAAGACATCACAGCCACATGTTTACTTTCTTCTTCCCATCCACTCAATTTATGGAGCTAAGATGGGACCATCAGCGGCAGCGGACCTGAGCTTGGGGTAAACATTAAGAAAAGAGAATGTTTAGCTATGAAGATCAAGGGAAAGATGTCTTTTGCCAGGCATTAGATAACATACAGGGAATACACCATCCCATTCATGCTCATAGTTTTAGCAAATGCTCTTCATTTTTATGACAATTCTAACAAAAGAAAACCCTCCCTATTTGTGTGTGTGTGTGTGTGTGTATGTATTGGTTGTGCTATTTGAGAAAAGACAGTTTACTGACACAAGTTGAAAATGAAGGAAACAACAACAACAACAAAACCCTCTTGGCCCTAATGGGGACAACCTGCTAAATTTAGACAGGTCTATTCATTGGCATTCACTTTCATTAAGTGATTCAGATAAGGAAGTTGTAATTACTACTTGTGCTTTTTTAATGGCATAGCCTAGCACATTTCCAAACAAAAGTAATTTAGCAGAGAAGAGACAGCTGCATACCAAATGTCAGAAATATGCTGGAGATGGGTAATGGTAAGGGAGCGTGCCGTGAGTAACAGGGTTTACCCACCGTACAATCACCTAAGGGTACCATGTTAAGACGTCATTGTGATGTGGGCTGACTTCACCTGAGCATTCTGCCCTAGATCCCTTTTGTTCTAAAAGCACAAAACTGTTACAGAAGTATTTCTTCTGTCATATCTTTCATGAATCCAATTGAGAGTTTACAGGCCAATTCTGAGGACTAAGAAACAATGGGCCAGGAAGGATGGTAGAGAAATAATCACTGCAGTAAGCCAGAGACTGACGTTAGGACAACAGATATAGGAGACCAAAGTGGCCTGGACTTCATGAGCTTCAGGGTTATGGATAGAACCTATGCCTAGTTGGAAAGCCAAAAAGATTTCAAAACATATATGAATCCAGATTTCAGAGGGTAAAGGCATGAGTGATAATGAATGGCTTGCTTTTTTTTTTTTTTTTTTCAATGTTCTAAACTAATAGAGCAGCTGTCCAGCTACCTCAAGATTCATTTCCAAGAAAATTTGGTGGAGCAAAAAGTTAACACAAAGCACCTGACTTTGCAAAAATTACCTAGGCAGGACATGCAGAGGTGTTCAATGGAACTGACTTTAAAAACCTGCTTCATGGGCAAAAGCCAAGAGAGGTTTCGAGTATAAAAATAGTGCTTTCTTTAATGTTGCTCCTCATTTACTGTGTTTTTAATGAAATCCATTTTTTAACTCTTTACTATAGGCTTCTTTAAAATTAAACCCTTATTGAGATAGTCTGATTCTTGTATATAAATTTTGAACCCTGCTTCCTTCCTCTCTGGCAGTGAAGATGATCTGGAAGGAGGACTGTGTCAGTCCCATTTATATCTTTTTATTCTGACACATTCACATACCTCCAAATTATCATGTAACTTTGTATTTTAAAAACATGTTTCAGTTTTTGTTATAACAATCTTCAAACATCGAGCAAGCCAAAGCAGATGGTTTTAATCCTTAATTATAAAGACTGCAACTGTTTCACCTTGGATAGGATATAATGCTGTACACTAAAGAATGAAAGGCTAGATACAGAAAGAAAAAAAAAGTTGTCATCTTGTTACTCTCAAGATCATGCAATATCTTGACCTTGATGCCATCTAGCATTCCCCTGCCCTGACATCTGTTAATGGCATCTGTCCTCTGTGACAACACTCCAACACCTTCAAACATGTTAGGAAGCAGCTCTGCAGCTCAGCAGAATGCCAGGAGAACTCAAGTCTGCCATATCCGAACAACATGGCACCATGGTAATAAAAGAATTAAGGGATTCCCACAGAGAAAGACATGTCCTGCAATTAGCTTCAAAATCAGTCAGTTCTATGTCTCTCTTAGAGAAAGTCACATCTGAGATACACAAGAATGGTTAGTTCTTAACCCGAATCACTACTCAAAACAGGCATATTTTAAATTGAGTCTATCCAACTACGTAGAAGAACAAGATAGGTAGTTAGGTAGCTAGGTAGATAGGTAGATATACGGATGGATGGATGGATGGATGGATGGATGGATGGATGGATGGATGGACGGACGGATGGAATATAAAATAAAATTGTTTCATGTGAGACATCTATTAGCATTTATTATTCAATGCACAAGAGAATTAGAGACATAATTATAGCTATCTAAAAATTTCTGAAAGCTCATTAAACTAGCAATCTTTCTTTCATGGGCAGTAAAGAGAAGAGAGGGGTCACCCAGAATTAAATGCTAGGTTCTAGGCAGAGGCCGCATTAGATAGTGTTCTTTTAAAAACTGAGTAGTTCTAGGAAAGTACAAGGTGACTTTAGGCTCTAAACAAATGCTCGCAAAACAATCTCAAATAAAAAGGCACAAAAGCCATCTTTGAAGGAACTTACACTGGCAAAATCTGAGATATATAAAATAAATAATGACAAAACAGAGAAAATACTAAATACAACGCCAAACTATATGACCTTGCTAATATAAATTCATGAATAAACAAATGGCAAGAAAAAAAAGCTTATCCTTACATTAAGAATTCAATTGACAAATGCAGAAGAAATGATAAGAAGATCACCTTTTGCAACCAACAAAATAATAACTCAACAAAAATTTAAAAAATAGTTTCTAAAACAGTGAATCAAGATGTGATAAAGAAGCGAGGTGTGGTGGCTGTAATCCCAGCGCTCAGGGAGGCAGAAGCACGCAGATCTCTCTGAGTTCAAGCCAGCCTTGTCCACAAAGGAGTCCAGGACAGCCAAGGCTACACAGAGAAACCATGTCTGGGGGGGGGGGGGGAGAAGACGTGACAAAGGACAGAATACTGAAAATCAAAATCCCTCCCCAATACATTTATGAAATCAAAGCCAGGGCAAGTAACTTCCCAGGGCCAGCTCCACCTTTACAAAGGAACCAAAGTAAGCACCAGAGGTAGCAGACAGATAGACATCTGGGTGGGACAGGAGAGAAATGCAGCACTGTCAGAAATGCACCATATTGAGAGTATATGCCAATCAGTGGTGGAGCCCTTGCCTGGTCTGTATAGAGTTTGACCCAGTATTCCTGCAAAGGAACAAAAACTGAGTATTATTCTAATTATGAAAAAGATCAGAGAAGTCTTACATTTGAGTAGGGGGACATACTACAATATACCTGATGCACTCTTTTCAACGTAGTAAGAGTCCAAGAAAGACCGAGGGCCTGGTCTAGACTGAAGAAACAAGGGCTGTGGCCAACAGTACAACACGCACACACACAACGCTGGACCCAGGAGAGGCAGGCAGCCAAACCTGAATGGGGCTCAGCATTAGCTTTCTAACTAAACGGCTATATGACAGCTGTATGGACAACCTCACTGGTAGAGGAAATACGCACAAATGTGCTCAGAGAATACTGGACACTGTCATATTTGGAACCCCAAATGTCTCGCAGAGGCCTTGCGTTGAAGCTGGAGCCTTCAGGAGGCAGAGTCTCCTGAAGGGTCTTCAGGTGGATCCGTGTGCACCTCCCTCTTCTCGCTTGTTTTCTGGCCACTAGGTACATGGTTTGATTTCCCACAGGCTCAAGGCCATGGAACCAAACCTTTTTTCTTTGTGAGCTTATCAACTTAGTTTCAGAGAAAAAAAAAAAAAAAAAAAAAGCAGACTGGCATGTAATAGCACTGGAACATGGATCTGTGATTAAGTTCTGCACTGTTTTTGTACTTTTTGTTAGAACACTGAAGTTCTTCCAAATGAAAAGACAAGACACTCAGTCCTGTGCATATAATTGTAACTACTCATTAAGGACATAAACATTTGAAATAAAGTATTAAAGGAAATTGTTCTATTAAATTTTTACTTGTAAAAGGTACTATTTAACTTTTAAAATCCTCTAACAATTAAGTATTCATATTTGTAAATCGTAAATATTCATAAATATGTCATGTTTATTATAATGCAGCCCTCCAGCAAGAGAGAAGAGAGAACACAATGAGGCAAGCAGGCTTTACCCTCTGTGTCCCTAATCAGAAAGATGTACATGTTCCCCGATGCCAGCTTGCTTTCTCGACACACACAGAGATCTCTGGAAAGCTAAATCAGGTACCTTGGTTTAGCTGTGTGGCATCCACAATCTGGATGCCATTCACAGAGCACTGGGACCCGCTCAGGGGTATCAGAGTCACTGTTCCCCCGGCATTCTCAAAGACACAGTGTTCACTCTCCAAGTCAAGGCCATGAAGCACTAGGAGAGAAGAACAAAGAAGAAAGTTAGTCTGCACTTTGGTGTCTACTACGATGATTCCCAATTATTTATTTTATTTCCATCTTGAACACCTTTTATTCTCCATGAAAGTGCTGTGAACATTTGTTTAGTGAGAAAATTCTGTGAGTCTGTAACATCAAGTGGCAAAAGGTCACAACAAAGGGTCTAGCTATCCTGCCTGAACAAACTGAGCTCTGCCCAGCAGCTTACTCTTCCTAAAAGACTCAGCTGAGCAGTTTGTTTAACTGAGAACCTTTCTCAATACTGACAAACTCCCACCAGCCATTGGGAGACACAAGAACGGAAATGCCTGTAGGTCTATGACCCATCCGGGAGCCCTCTGCACTTACAGATAATGCCTCCCAGAAATGCAAAACAGAGGCATGACATGGCATGGACCTCAGGAGATCCTAGGACAGTCATTCCCAACCTGTGGGTTGTGACTCCTTTGGGGGTCAAATGACCATTTCACAGGAGTCATGTAAGACCATTGGAAAACAGATAATTACACTTGATATATAAGTAGCAAAAATATGTTGCCACAGTTATGAAGTGGCAACAAAATAATTTTATGGTTGGGGTCATCACAACATGAGGAACTGTATTAAGGGGCTGCAGAATTAGGAAGGTGGAGAACCACTGTCCCAGCAGCTTCCAGAGGCGTCTCTGAAGTATCCAGCACCACAGCCTTTGCTGATTCTGAGACCTTTGAGAGCAGTCACTGATAGTTACCTGATTACCTATGAACATCTTGGCAATGGTGGATGTGAACAGCTCTCAGATAAATCAGTTTCTCAGAAGTAGCTCTCACATTCTCTGCAACACTGCACTAATGAATGTCTCTGGTCAGAGAACACTGTCCCTACCAACTGTCATCATTTACAGCTACTCCCAAGGCCAAATGCATAATTCAAACAAGAGGCTTCATGCCAAAGCAGACTCAAAAGTACTTGAGCCTGGAAGCTTCTGGAATTGTTTTTCAGCTCTCCCCATCTCTAGCAAATATTAAGTATACACAGAAACATGCCACAAGTGGCTCATTAGCATATACTTAAGAGAAAATTAAGTTCTCCTCAGGCACTCTAAACATACCTTGAAATGGTGTAATTCTTCCTCCAATGCCACTTTGCCCCACCAACACATATACAACTCCACCACATTCTGAGCCATAGGCCTGCCTGAGGGATGCTCAGAACACTGTGCAGGCAGTCATCTGCTTAGGCTGAATAGCCGGCTATCTGTATGCCTTGTGAAGACAATAGGACCCTAGAAAGCCATGGCGTCTGATGCGGGCCTGGCATGTGGTCTCGTACTTGCCTATCACCTCTCTGTAGAGAACTATCTGTACCCTGCCTGTTGAAAGGCCCGCAACCCTTTATCCATGTCTCCTGGCTTAGTTCCCTCAATCACTGTGACAAGGACGGAGTGACAGGAGTAGAGTGATTTCACTACCGCACTAGAATGACAGAATGCATGTGGGGCAGCAGAAGGAACTCACACTTTAACTGTATTCACTGAATTAACCAGTCTTGTTATTCAATTGATTTGTGGTCAAAATTATAGATATACTTAGCAAAATGCCTCAACATTTTCTCTTATAACTACTGCAATGTCACTCAAGAAAAAGAAGATTGTTGAAAAGTTAGTAGTTTTTAAAAATCACTGAGAGGAGATCATTGAAAGTCTCACCAATATCTTGCTCAGTTGAAGCATCTTCTCTGCCAACGTAAGTCTGACCTTCCTGAGAAGGAAATTCAATAATATTTGTTAGTGCAGGAGGACATCCTGCTTCTCCGCTTCTTATCCTATCTTGATGCATTCCACCTGCCTGGCAACATATGAGTGAGGTCTGGGGTGCACAATGGCCTCAGGGAGCTCAGGCTACTGAATACTGCAGGGACGTTCTTCGTGGTCTGCTCAATACCACCACCACTGAAAAGACAAACTGCTCAAAAAGTCCAAGTTCTTGTAGTCTGCTCAGGCCAGCCATCTCAAAGATGCTTCAAATGCTTTCTGCATGGCTTGTCATTCAGTGGACAAGGACTTCTTTGTGTCCAAACAAAGATGCGTGATATGAAAGGCCATAGAAATCAAGACAGTACAATCTCACTTTGAGTCATAGATCAGAGGGAAGACATTAAAATCAACGTCACAGAGGCAACCCTTGATAACTGACAAGGAATTCTATTCTCTAGAACAGTGGGAACTCTGAGAACCAAGCCTGGCTGTCTAAGAGGAAGGTACCATTTTATAATTACCAGAGGAACCAGCAACTGTACACAAAGCAATTCCAAGCCCTGGGTCCTTATTCCTTCCTCAGCTTCTCTGTCTTTCCCCCATCTTCCTTTTTCTGATTCCACAGAAAAGAAGCCATCCCAAAACAAATGACTCATCACTTCAGAACACTATAAACACAGGAACTTCAAATACCACTGAATCCCAGTGACCTACAGAAGATCCCCAAAGGCTCAGGAATTTGTTGTATATTCTTTTTAATAGTTATATTCATGGTCATAACATATTATAATAAACCTTGCTAGCGTCTGAGGGGAAATCTGGAAACAGAATTAGACTGTTCCACTGAAGCAGTTTCTACCTTCAAGTGATACAGGATGATGCCGGTGCTCAGAAGGTCATCGTCAATGCCAATCAAATGGGGCAGCTCACTGTCCAGAACCACACCAATGCCTTCCTTCCGGAGGGCTAGGGTTTGCTCCTGCAATTAGGATGAGGGAGAGAAGAAAAAGGTTACTTTGGGGAAAGACAACTTCATATTAGGTGTTTTTAGATGTTTGAAAGAAGTAACATTTTATTTCTTTTTACAAAAAAAAAAAAAAAATTAACTGAAAGAAAAACGGACTTTAAATTTCATGTTGAAAACCTGGCAGGCAGTAGGCAAAATGAACTTGGAACATATAAAATGTTCAACATAAAATGAATTACACTCTTAGCTTGAGATGTGTGTGTGTGTGTGTATACAAAGTCAATGTCAATATATATCAAAGTCAATGTCAAAGCCCATCTTTCTGAGCAAGGACTTTACAATCACCCTCTATAAAGTAAACTTTCTCCCTTCTTCAGATCCTGTACTTTCTTAATAGCTAGAAGTCTCCTAAATTGCCAGTCCTTCTCTCTGGTTGCCAGGATATACTGAGCATGCTCTTCAGACAGTAGCTACTCCAATGAGTTCTGCATCTCTGCATCAGAGATACCCTCCACACCTTTATCTCAGGGATGTGGATCCCCCTTACCCACCTGTTCTTCCCACTCCCTTCACAGGGGTGTTAAGAAATCTTCTCCATAGTCTTGGCATTTAAACATTTGCTCCCCAGTTCATGGCACTGTTTTGAGAGGTTTGGGTGATGCAGCTTGCTGGAGGAAGCACGGCCCTGAGACCAGGCCCTGAGGTTAAAAGTCTCTTCTCACTTCTAATTCACTCTCTTCTTCTTGCCATGGAAGGTGTGAGCTCTCAGCTTCCTGTGCTCTCATGTCTCCCCACCATTATGGAATTTTTTCCTCTGAACTATAAATTAAAATAAACCCTTCCTTCTACAAGTTGTTGTGGCCACAATGTTTACCACAGCAACGGAAAAGTAGCCAACCAGCACAGCCCACACCCCCTCACCTCCCTCAGCCCAGCATACTCCCTCAGCCCCCAACAGTTTCATAAGTCTCCGAGAGAAAGATCATCTACCTCAAATTCCCCTGCACTTCTTAAGTTCCTCCCTGCCATGCTTTTGAAACTACCTCAAGAGGCTGTCAACCTTGGACTCTACTCATATTCACCCCCTGAATGATGACTCTCATCCTGGCTCTTCACTTACCAGCCATTCACATACTGAGGATTCTTCAATTAAAATTGATAGGACATGCTTCTGCCTTAGTGTTCATACTTGCATACTTAAACCTGCCTATCAATATCGCTATAGAAATACCAGACTGGTAGCTCAGATGTAAGACATTAAAAAACAAACAAACAAAAATCCCTCAAAACTGCAGCCTATCCAACCCCATCTCAGCAAATGTCAATCTTCATTATTACTTAGATGAAAAACTGGAACATGTCACTCCTTTCTTTCTCTAAATTCTACACCTACAGTATTCAGTCTACCTTCAAAATATACTCCAACTCTAGTAACATAAAACCCCTGCACTATTTTGGTCAACCCTAAATCATCATTACTTTTTACCTAGATTGCTGCCATGACCCAAGCCATCACTTAAATTCATAATGCAGCAGCCAAAGAGATATCAGAGCAGGTAATTCTGCTCAGAGACTTTAACTGGCCTCTAGTGATGCTGAGAGAAACCTAAAGTCCTTACAGTGCTTTACAAGTGCTTGGCCTCACCCCTTCCTAACCTATACTAATCTCCTGCCACTGCCTCCTTTGGGTCCCACACTTGCTGGCTAGCCCAACTGTAAGACTTCATCAGTGAGGGCGCTTCTGCTTTCATGACTACAGTGCCATCTGCCATCGCTCTTCTATCTCTCCTCTGGCAGTAGGGCCTGTACACCTAACCCCTACCAATGCTTGTAATTCACTCTTACCCAGCGGTACATGCTCAGCAGTATCCCTGGTCCCTATTCTCAAATGCTGGTAATAACCCATGTCTCCGCAAGACAGCAGCAACCAAAACCACCTGCAGATACTCCTGTGTATCCCTGAGATACACCAGCAGCCTTGGAACATCACATGGCCCATCACTTCCTTCATGGCTCATTTCAAAGTCCCGCACTCCACCCTACTACAAAGCAGCAAGGACCAGCCTTCCCTGTGCCTACCTGTGTCCCTTGTCAGCAGCTCTGCAACCCACGTTTGCCAAGGGACTGAATGGGCAGCTATAAGAAGTCAGGGCAGTGTGTCATATATGGACTTTGGGCAATCTTCTAGAAGAGAAACCAACAGGTTCATGTCTTCACTCCATACCCACTGGTCCAAAACTAAATCGAAGAAGGGCTCTAGAGAAGTTCAATGTGGGAGGCTGACAGATCCCAAAAAGATTTAGGGGAAAAACTTCAAATGAAATGGAGCTGTGCTGAGTTTGAAAAAAAATCATATCCAAATGTGTGCAATGTAGTTGATGTGATGGATGTACTGGGTAGCAAATCCTAGCTCTGACCAGGTTTTCCAGTCAGACATATTCCTGGTGAGTATATCCCCAACTCTCACCGACCATTGAGACACACTTCTCTGTGTCAGAGCTGACAGCTAATGATGCTGCCTTTTATATTTCTGGGAAGAACCTCTGTGCTATGGTGCCATTTAATCAGGTTAACAACGTACTTCCTGCCTGTCATTCTTGAAGCAGAAGATTCTGAACCTCTCAAGCTGGTGTCAAAGCAAAATTCAAATACTAAACTCAAAGGAGAGCCAGATGAATTCATGGGTGGGGCAAGAAGAGTGAGAAATCCTTTGGAATTTCCTTCTGTAAACATTTAGGTTTCAAATGAACACTTGGAGACCTAAAGTCACACAAAAGGGCAACAGAATAAAGGGCCCAGAAAGAAGGGTATTTTTTAAAAGGACACATAAAAATCACCACTTGGAAGAAAGCATTTTAATTGAACAACCATTAAATAGATACAAAGAAACAACCAGTGCATAAGGTTAGATTCTAGAAGAGGAAATGAAGCGTATCATTGTTCTTCAATTACTCCTCCTATCAACCAAGCTCTCCTTCCACAGCTAGAAACCTCAGGCTTTGAGGTTTGGAGATTCAGTAACCTTGATTTATGATGCCAAGGCTCTTGCAAATTATGGCTAAAATGAGTATGCTACATGGAACAAGCCCTATTTCTACCTCTCATGTTGGTAGGATCCACGCCTTTCCTCCTGATGATGGAATTTCAACAGAAGTAAGACGCATATGGTTTCTTTATTAGAGATGTATATTACAGAGGAGACTTTAACCACATAGTTCCATATATAAAGCAATGACCTACTGGAAAGTCTAGTTTCGGAACCATGTGCATAAAGGTAAGAGCTTCAAAGTGATGAGCTGTTTCTGCTTAGACATGAAAAGGTAAGTGACTGCTATCCTTGGTCCAAAGTCATATGTGTTTTCTTTCTACAAAAAACATGGACAAGAATCACACACACACACAAAGGAAGGAAGGGAGGGAGGGAGGGGGAGGGAGGGAGGAAGGGAGGGAGG